ATTCTGTATTCGATTTTCAAGTTTATATTAAATTTAATAGGTGGGGTATACCCCACCATCATTTTTAATAGTGTTCCAAACCTCATACGATTCTGTTCGATTTTACTCGATTCCAATTTTCAGAACTATAGCTGGAGCTCATTTGTGATAAAGAGTATAAAATATTTTTTCTTGCTTAAAATTACTATAAAAGGAAAATTTTTAACAAAACGGATGTGATCAGGAGAGAGTTTCAATTAAACATAAATTTTTAATAAATAAATAAAATAAATATTATTAATAAGTAATATATAATTAAAACTAATATTATATAAATTTTATAAAAAAAATATCTTATGATTTAAGATATAAGAAAAAATACTTTTAATAAGTTATGATATCAAATATTATATTAATTTTATTTAATCACCTTTATCTGAAGTTGAACTGGTATTTTGTGATCTAACCTGTAAACCACTAATCATTATATTATAAATTTAAAGGTTATGTTTTAAGTAAAAATTATATAAAATATATAAAAACTATTTTTAATTAATCAATAATAATTTATAAATAGTTAATATTTATTTAAAACTATATATCTTATTAAATAAAAATAAAAATATAAAATATAATTTTATAAACAAAATTTATTAATAATAAATTACTTATTGAAATAGTAATTGTAAAAATAAGTAATTTTAAACTTATAATTAAAAATAAACTAAATTTTATTTTTTAAAAAAATATTAAATTAATAATATAAGTTTGTTTGAATTTAATGAAATTTACTATAGAATTCTTATGAAAACAAGTTTATCTAATATAAAAAATTTATATATAATAATTATTTTTAATTAATTTAAAGTGATCCTTTATTATTGATGGTCCTATATTTTTTAAAATTAAAATATAGATCCGTATTATATACTACAGATCAGTGCGCTAAATCTGAAAAAGGGTATAATGTGGATAAGACTATAAAATTACGCAATAGATCTTTAGTTTACGACTTTATAGAACTAATTTTGTTTTTCTTTAGTTAACATAAAAAGTTAAAATCGTTAAATAATAAATTTATTGGTCAAGTAAAAATCCATGCTATTTGTGTTAGCGACAACATACATACTGTGTTACTGGTATTGTCGATATTACCCAATAATTTTTTATTTGTTATGCTTTATAATTTTCACCCTTACCATATTTGATTCCATATTTGATTATTCGTGTGGGATTTTTACATGTGGGCGTTTTATGAGAATTGAAAGATATTTCGGATATTTACCTTCTCTTCTGTGTTAAGGGAGGAACTGGCATACACGCGCTAATAATAATAAGACCATTAAATGTAAGTAGTCGGGCCTCGAATTACACCTACCTAAATTATTCGATGTATACAAGATTGTCTAATCTAAAGGGCTTACAGTACTTCCACCAAGTCATTTGATACTACTTATCATAAATACACTGAGAATCTAGAATGCACAGAGTACGTAGATGTTTCACTCTTCAATGTATACCAGACCATCTAATCTGTTGTCAGCCCATATCGGTTCACCGAACATAAAGAATAATTTCCTATATTGCATACTGTATATAGATTGCGTTACAAGCACAAACAGCTATATAGCGTGACGTACATAGTATTGTATATAGAATTTGCGTGCTTTATCATAACGACTACTTCATATTATGAATATCGAGAGAATAAAGAATATTTCCTTTATTCTTCTGTGCCATGGCGTAATTATATTAATATCCTTTACTATATATTTTATATCTCGAAATGGGCACGTTACGGTTGATGTGGGAACAGCTTCTCTTCTAATATCAGTAGTTGATAAAGTAACAATATCGATATTAACTATTGGGTTTGTTCATCTAACGACAAGGAAATGGAAAAGCATAAGAGACAGAGGATCTTTAATAAGAATAGTAGAATCTATCGATTCTATAAAATCCGGAGTTGTATCGTGCGTTACAAATATAAGTTCTATTGAAGTTTCGGTGTATTTATTGTTGGCTTTATCAGCAACGGCGACTTCGTGGGGATTGTCCAAAGGAATAAGTATAAGTAAAATTGGCGGTACATGCGTTTATAATGAAGGAAAAACTCATGCTTTGTTAAATTGCACAAGCAGTCAAGCTTGTGGGTTAAATTCATATGCTATGGGTGGCCTTTCCCCGACAGGAATTGTAAGAACAACTACATTAGTGAAAAACGGAATCGATAATAATATTACAGTTTTGGGAAATCCAAATTATGCTATTGCGGCACATGTTGGAAAAGATCTGTTATTTTCTACAGATGAAGTAAGCATTTACGATCTAAGCGCGATTGTAGTAAATACTTCATGTATGGCGACTGAAAAATTTGCTGGATCATCTTTAGCAATTGATCCATTAATAAATATGACAAGCTTAGATGACAACTTCAATTTCTTTTTCAGCCCTACTACTATATCGGATTTCCAAGGATTATACGTTTTGGATAGAAATTTCCATGTTTTTGCTATTATTTTGGCAGATCGAACGACAAATAATATTAATCAAATTCAAGTAGGATGGCTGAATCATACACAGGTAACTCTAAGAAGTAATTTAGTAACTCTTGCACAATGCAATTACACAGCAAGAATCGGATTGTTGGATATTACCCAAAAAAATAATTCATTACAAAGTTCGATAAAAAATTTGAAACCCATCAGCGAAGCACATGTTGGAGCATTGAATGTTCAGATGAGCGGATTTAATTTTGATGCTTTGACCATAACAAATGGAAATTCCAATCCAGAGATTGATCCTTACAAATATGATGGAAGATACATTTCTGGATTAGAAACGGACGTTGCTAAATACGTGGCCGCATCGTCTATGGTTCTCATAGATATACTATTGGCACAAGGTTATCCTGCCAATAATTTAGCGTATACCAATGACACATTTTCGATAAAATCTTGTGACAGTATTGAAGTGACGATCATACAATACTGGCCTTTGTTGTATGTTTGGTTAGTTATTAATGTTATTTCATCATTAATATTGATATTTTTCACGGCAAAGGGGATAGCAGAGATAAACATTACCTGTTCTGGAGTAGAATTGAACACTTTGATATGGCAATCGTTGACAACAAAGTGGGGGTTAGCAAGATTATTGTCGAAAGGTCACTGGAATACGGATCAAAAAGATGCGTTTTTATCAAAAATGGACGCGATACCAGAAAGATTGGAAGCTTCGAGGAACCATTTTGGATTGACTTCTTTGGACCGGGAAAATGAGATTTATTAATCTTACGGTGGACTAGTATAGATGTTTTCTGAAGCTATATGTTTTATATTCATACTTGCGAGTTTTCTATATTCTATTATGTTTTGTTTTATTTACTTATATTCATGTTAACTTATATTGATAGTAATTTTTATGTATTTATGATTTTATAAGAGAATAGTATAATGGTCGTTAAGTATTCTCTTTATTCATATAGTATATATGTATCGTGCGAATAAATTATCACAAGCAAATTATGAGATGTTCTGCAATCTAAATATTCAAATCCAATTAGGCGTTTTTTTTTACTGAATATGAAAATACAAATAACATTGTTCAACCATTTCAGTTCGTTCCATTAACATAACGAGATAAAAAAGAATTCTGATCCGATTCTTGAAAGTAACTTGATTCTGATAATCTTACAAGGAAAAATCGGATAAACCACATGAGTAAAAATTTGAAAAAAATAATTAAAAAAAAGTAGTTCCATAAAATACTTTCATATACTGTAAATTATCGATTTTGTTTGTATCAGGCTTGAGAATATTATATAATTTAATTTCAGTAAATATGATAAATTCAGAAGACATACCATTTTGCAGTTGCGCAATTATTCACCAGCTTCGTTTCTTAAACTTATGCATACTAACTATTAATATGGATGGGTTCGCCATTACACATACCGGAAGTTGCAATTTCTACTTTACTGCAACATTGTTTATAGTATTTAACAATTACAAAATCAGATACATAATGTAGTTTGATGCAAATGACACTGATGCATTATTAAATATTTGAGTTGTAGTTAAGTTGCAGTAATTTTTTTACTATATAATTGTATGGAAAAAAGGTGTATCTGATTCGAGTCGCGTCGAGTGGTCTAATATTTTTGTACTGCAAGTTTACGTGAGATGACCGAAAAATTTTTCTTATATCATTTTATTTTATTTTTATTATTATTTTTTTTTTTTAATCGGCTAGCTGGGCCTTGCCTATGCGTTCATTTATTTAAATCACGTATGCTATACATCATGTGTTACAGGACGAAGCTACCTATGGTTTATTCTAGATATCACTAGACTACATCAGATTTTACCCCCATGTCGGCTTGTTGCTATTGACTGTACATCTGAAGATCTACGTGTGTCAAGGCTAACATGCTAAAGCTCCATCAATGCCATTATTGTATATATGAAGGTTCTATTTCTAACTAGAAATATGTTAAGGTGAAGTGTAAAGAGGGGAACTGGGAGTAGTACCTATTGGGTGAATAGAACCCCTGCAAAGAAAATCCTTCTAAACCCGATCACCTGCAGCTGGGCATACCATTTAATTTTCACCTTCCTAAAGCTACCCAAGAATGTTTAAGGAACTTATCTCACAGACTTACTACCTATAGATTATTTCAGCTATCGGTACTTACTGCTGTTTTGGCTGTCTTCCCGGGATAAGTAACTGTCGGAGCGATCTATTACTGGATTGGAATGAGGCTTTTCCGGAAACTTGCAGGAAGAGATATCAGGTACCACAGGGAAACGATCACCAAACCAACCTACTGAAAGCGGACACCTCATACACCTTGCAACTTCTGGCGATCATTGTAATACCAACCAGACGATCATCACACCACGACACCTTTTCTGAAAATCACAATCCCAACGCTTACTGAATCAGCATATGAAATGGTTTCTCATGGAAAACAGCGCTTTTACAGGTTATAGTGTCAGATACCATATTAATTCTATTCAACCGCCCTCATATGGGGTTGAACTGATATTTTGTGATTTGACCTGTGAAGTGTTAACCACTACACTATTGACCCACAGGTTTATATTATTTTATTGACTTATATTACTTTATTTTAATAATATAAAATTAAAATAAATTATTATAAACTTTTGAATTAGTTCTACTTTTATGCAATGTTGCAACTAGTTTTTTCAATTTTGAAAAAATTGATCTTTAAGAATATTATTGACAATTAATTGGATACTTTTTGTTTGGGTTTTGAAATTTTAAAAAATTTTAAGTTGTTTTTAATTTTTGAAAATAAATAAAAAAGTCACATAAAATATTAAATGTTGTTGTAATGAAATAACATATCATGTACTGTTGTTTTTTTCTGTTTTTACTTGAAGTTTTAATTAAATCTTTGATAAATTTTTATTGATATACAAATATTTTAACAACCTTTTCCTTTGAAATTATAAATCTTATAATTACACAATATACAGTATTTATTCAAAAAAATACAAATGAATTTTTTTTTGTTATTTTATATTATTTTTATATTGGTTAACAATTAATAATATAATTTAAAATTTTTAATTATATAATATTTTAAAAACAAATTCAACAAACTTATAAAATTTTTATAATTTTAAAATTATATTTATTATTGCTTTTTTATAGCTTATTGTTTTTATTATGTATATTAAATACTATATATATACTGCATATATTTAAAAACTACTTTAATTATATATATAGTATATTTTTTAAATAAAAATCTTTGTTAATTTTTATATTTTAAATTATTAGTTTTCAATTATTTGTTAAATTATATAAAATTTTAATAGTAAAAAAAATTTTTTTATACAAATAAATATTATTTATTTATTTATTTATTTTTTGAGATTAAATATATTATATATATAATTTTTATTAATTATTATAAATTATATATTTCTATATATAAATAGATTACTAACTATGTTAATATTAATTGACATATTCAATTTTGTATATTCGGATATTTTTTTCTGTAGTCAAACAAATATATATTGTTTATTAAATCTTTATAGAAAACAAATAATGTACAGTATATTGTAAAACTTTTTGGAATTTTATTTACATAACATAAATATAAATAACTTTTTCAAAACAAAAGCAATTCACGTGAAATTT